CTTTGTTATTTATTTAGTTAACAAACACTCGCAGAGTGTGGCATTCACCGCTCTAAGCACCTTCCAAATATTAACTCACTTCATCTTTATTACAGCCTTGAGCTAGGTGGACTCCTTTCCCCCTTTTACGGAAGAGGAAACAGTAAAGAGCCGAGGGTCTTAAGCTGGTGAGAGACCAGGCTGGCAGGCTGGCCCTGGCGCCCACGTGCTCAGCTCTGCCTCCTCCAAGACTCCTCCGGAGAGCTGCGCAGTGTGCCCGACTCCTAAAGGCCCCCAGGGAACCCTGGGCAGGGTGAGCACTCTGAGCCCACAGGAGGGGCATCAGAATGAGCTGGAGGGGCTGGGGGCAGGTTAAGAAGACACCGTTTTGCTGCAGCGTGAAGGACGGAGCGAGACAGAACCCAGAGGGAGGGAGAATCGCTTTGAGATTGCAGGAAGGTGAAGAAGGGGAAAACAGTAAATTTTTACAGGGGGGAAACTAGACAGCAGTGAAAATGAACAGCTACAGGTACGCAAAAAGTACCATAAACAGATCTCCCAGCTACGCCGTGGAGTGAAATGCTATACGCTGTATCCTTCATGTATACAGAATCCAAAATCCAAGCCATAATATCTAAGGATGTACCATGAATACTAAAACAATAAAGAAAAGCAAGAACGTAATTACCATAAAAACCAGGCTGTCTTTGGGGGCAGTGGCTGGGAGGGCCGGAAGGGGGCTCCCGGGTGCTGACGGTACCCTGTATGTGGACCGGGGTGGGTGGCACGGGTGTCCGTGATGCGGCTGTGCGTTTCAGTTCTCTGTGCCTCCTGTGTGCACGGTTGTAAGGGGCAGGGGAGCGAAGGGAGCAGATGAAAGAGTGGACACTGAGCAAGGGCACCCAGCCCCGGAAAGAGGACTTCCTTGGGTGACGACTGTGCTTCTCTGTTCTAAAAGGCGTGTTTCCTCCGTGTTCGCATCTCTGAAATCAGGGTGCACCCTGCCATTGGTGATGACGTGGCTTGTTTGGGGCCCTCGGCATCCTGCTGCCTCCCTCTGGTGGGCCTCCGACCCTCCAGAGCCGTGCCAAGCCCACAGAACTCGCCCATAGCAGGCCTGGCACCCACAGTCAGTCGGGAGTGAGGAGGGTGTGGCTGACCCCTGTGTGGCGCTGGGCACAGCGGGCAGTGGGCAAAGGTTCCAGCACAGGGCCCATGACATCGGCGGGCTGCTCCTTCCCATGTGTTGTGTCCCTTGGTAACCTGGCCGGCCTCATGCTTACTGGAGGTGGGAGGACAATCTCATGGTGGACCTTCTGTGACAGAAATGGCCAGTGACCTATAAACCAGCTGGCCAAGCTTCCTTCAGACCCCGGACCCTGGGCGGAACCCATTCTTCAAACTGAAAGATGCCTCCCGATGAGACCTGCCTTAAGGGGCTGTAAAGGGCAGAGAGGGGTGGGGAACAGTTCGGGTTCGATTTCTGAGGACTTCCTGGTGGCAACTCTGGTGCCATCAGGCGCCTGCACTGTGTAAACCCTTCTCTGGACACTGAATGTTCAGCGACGTGCTGCTGTCTGGGGGTGTCACCGCGCTGTGCAGAGTGAGCCCTGGAGCAGGCTTTACCTGCAGCTCTCATTGAACTGGCCCCAAAGGCCCGGGGATGGGCACTCCTTTGTAGTTTTCAGTTTGAGCCGAGGAAACTGAGGATGGAAGGCACAAAACAACCCATCGCCAAGGTCACACAGCTGCTGAGCAGTGGGCACAGGACTTGATCTCTCCAGAGGTCATCCTCTGAGCCGCTGGCAACGCGGCCTGGTCACGGGAGGCTCCCTGCTGGCCCTGAGAGGGGTCTGTAAGTACATGGCCCGTCTGCACCCCTTTTCCAAGGAGGAACGATCTACTTCCAGAGAGTCGCTGCCCGCGCCTTTCCCTCCCGCGCCCCCCAGATAGGCGTGAGCGAGCAGCCACCGTGGCTCGGTGGCTTCCCACGGTCTCACTGGATTCCTCGTCCTGTCCTTGGCCCGAGTCATTCCAATTGTGCTAAAAGTAGCATTGACCAAATCAAGGTCTGTTCAGGGGCCAGGCTATTTTGATTGTGTCCTCAAGAATCATCTGGTCTGAGGCGTGTAGAAGCTGGACCGCGCCCATGAGCACTCCGACGCGGCGCCAGGAATGTTCTGGCCAACACACCTGTCCCCCACGCTGGCCCGACTGCTGCTCCCCACCCCACGGCCTCCAACACGTGCCTCCTGAGGTCTGCTTCCTGGAGGGAGGGGTGTGGGACCTGCACATCCTTATCCACAGAGAACCACCAGCCAGCTTCCGTGATGCTCCTCTTGTCCCTCTCCATTTAGTGGGAGCGTGCTAATCTTTGGATGTATGACATCCGCTCACATGGAAGCCCACACCAGAAGCCTCCTTAGAGACAGCAAACATTATCCTTCCATGGGAGGCTGAAAGGTTTCCTTTTCTGGGGGTCTTTATAGTGGAAGAGATTTGCATCTGACTGGTTTAAATATAAGCCCCCGTGCAGGGCTCCTTCGCTAGGATGGCTTGGTCATTCTTCAGAGTCTCTGAAGGCCCATCTCTGAGTCCTCCCCGACCAGGCCAGCCCACCCGCCTCTTACCGCCAGGTGGACTTACACTGCCTTTTAACAGAGGATTCTCCCTGTCACCTAGAGCACCGGTTCTCAACCTGTGGGCCGCGACCCCTTTGGGGTCGAACGACCCTTTCATGGGGGTCGCCTAAGACATACCAGTAGCAAAATTACAGTTATGAAGTAGCAACGAAAATAATGTTATGGTTGGGGGTCACCACAACACGAGGAGCTGTACCACGGGGTCGCGGCATCAGGGAGTTGAGAAGCACTGGCCCGGAGCCCTCCCCTCCGAGCTGTGCGCTCTACACAGCCAGGTATCTCTCGCCAGCGGACACCCGGGCGGCGGCAGCTTCCCTGTGTTTGTAGGCCGGTGAGCCACAGGCTGGCCAGACCAGCTTTGCTCTGCTAAGGAAATAAGTCGGCCATCTTTTGGGGGACGGTTGATTGGTTCAGTCATCTGTTCAATACACGGACATAGAGCAACCACTCTGCCTGTTACTGGTCTGGACACTGGAGATACAATATCTAACAAGACTGGTCCCCGCCTGGGATCAACTCCCAGGATAGCAGGGAGACATCTCTTATCATATAGTGGGCTAAGGGCAATTACTCCCGTGCAGTGGAGAGTAACTTTGCCCCCAAGAGTTGGGGAAGAAGGCCTCACAGAGGATTCGATCTGTGACAGGTCTTCACTCCTGCAGGGATGGGGGGTGGGGGGATCAAGCAAAGGAACAGCATGTGCAAAGGCTTGGAGCATGAGAGGGCCCAGTGGGGCCCAAGAAAGCTAAAACGTTTTGCTGTGTTCTCAGACCGGCTGGCCATGGGCAGGAAGGCAGCGTGGCTCCTTGGTGGGGGAGATGGGAGCTCCATGGAGCAGGCAGCAGGGAGCGGGCGCCGTCCCTTCCCCCGGAGGTGGCAGATGCACAGAGCCCCTGCTCCTCTGCCTGCCGGGGCCTGCAGTCCCTCCTCCCAGCCTCCCCTGCTTCTCCCAGGCAGGACGAGCCGGCTCCTTGACACTGGTGTGCTTCCCTCTTGTTATAATCTTCATACTGCATGAATCGCAAGTCCTGCTGCCCAGGCATGGCAGTCAGGGTCAGAGGTGTGAATTAAACAACACAGGACTCTGATTACTTCAGCCAGGGGTGCGGAGGCCAGCCGAGCAGCTCTCTTCCTTTGTCACCGATAATGAGGGTACTCCCAAGGCTGCTGATCTCAAATGCGTTCCTCAGAGAGTTTTAAGCTCCTTGCTGACATCGTCCAATAATAATGACATGAAGAACCACCTCTTATTGAGCACTTCACAAGTGTAAGTTCATTTAGTCATTAGATGACTCTGTAAGTGAGGTGCCTGAGATGGCACAGCTAGTCAGGGTAGAGCCGGAATCTGAGTCCCGACCTTTGGGACTATAGAAAGCGACACCACCTCGACCTTAGGGAATTATCCTGGCCTGAGGGTGCTGGACAGCCGAGCCCTCTGCCCTAGGAGCCCCCAAGTCCCCTCTGGCTTCCAGGGCTCTGACCCATTCATTGCGCTTTACTGCGTGCCCACTGGGTGCCAGGTGCTGCGCGGAGGCCTGAAAAGTCACATGGACCCAGTTATGTGGCTCTCCCCCCGGGGAAGCTGGAGGGACCCCTTCCCACTGCCCCTCAAAATTTTCCCATTGTTTAATGTGACCTGTTCAGCCTTCTCAACTTCTGTGGTGCTCATTACCCAAACCGTGGCACCTGTCGCTTTGTGTCCGCCTTTCTCTCGGCAGTCGCTGGTGTGCCGTTTGCACGCGGAAGACACGGTCTCTGCCACAGTGTCTGAGACGCACACAGGTCATCAGTGAGTGGACTGAAGTGCTCTGGGGACGGTGGCAGACACCTGCCTCACTCACCCCAACAAGCCACTGACTTGATCTTGTCAAGTGGCACCGGGAAGTGATGGGACTAGACTCAGATCAGGAGAACTGGGTCCCAACCGGTGCCACGGCACCAGGAACACCGGAGACGCCATTCAGTCTCCATCTGTAGAGCCCTGGCCTGTCTTACTCGGCTCCCGTGATCTGCTTCACTGAGTGAAAGCAAGCACACGACCACACGGCACGGGTTCTAGTCTTCTACCAGTAGCAGTTATCATCCTATTTACCCCCTATTTCTTGGGATGCCTGGCACAAATCTGGGCGCACAGCAGATGTACAGTAAATATCAGTTTATTTCATTGGCCCCTGACTGTGGAGCCAAAGGCATGGGGCAACCACGCTCCGAGCCGGAGGCCCATACTTTTGGGGCATAAACATTGCACTTTCCCCAGTTTGGGTTTCCAAACCACTGGGGCTGTCTCATCTAGGATAGGGCCTGTGACGTGAGCATGGTCCCTAAGGGGACCGGGCACCATGTGTCCGCCCCTCATTAGGCCTTCACCTCTCATTTCAGCACCCCTACCCCACGGAGGATGAGAAGAGGCAGATTGCGGCCCAGACAAACCTCACCCTCTTGCAAGTCAATAACTGGTGAGTTAGTGCATCCACTCGAAGGCTCTCAGATGTGGGGCCGCTTGCCTGGCAGGGGAATGCACAGCATGGAGAAGAGACCGGAATGCCCAGTCCGGCCTCAGTCACAGCCTGCCGCCACAGAAAGCCAGAATCCACAGGGCCCCTGTCACTTCATTTGCAGCTGCTTAGCGCCCTCTGCTGGGAAACTGTGCCAGGCACATCACTGGATGGAAAATCCAGCCCCACCTGCACTGCAGACACACATAAGTGCCTGCATCCAAGGACTAGAGGGGCCACCAGTGGTCACCTGGTCTACCCCCAACTATGACATGAACTGAAAAGGTAGGAGTGGGAAGGAGAAGGAAGAGTCGGTCGTTCTGACTGCAAAGGAATCAGAGTTTCCCCTTCTCTGTCTGGCTGGGCTGGCAGAGAAACCTCAGAGAAAGAGGTTTGGCTGGATGGGAGTACACCCAGGGTTGGGCTCCCTGATCAGAGCCCTCAGCCCTCTGGAGAGTAGTCAGAGGTTAGTGCCTTTGACTAAGGGGGCTCTTCCTTCCTCTGTTCAATCCTGACGGGTCTCCAGTAGCGATTTCTCCCATCATGCATTTGTCCCACGCTGCTTTGTGGTTACCAAGTGATTCCACGAGTTCCTCCATGCCCAGGGTCTTTTCCCAGCTGGGCTTTCGCACCCCAGACCAGACCCCAGTCTGTCCTGTACAAGGATCAGCCGCTGAGAGTCTGGGAGCAGCTTAGCCCTCCCTGCTCGCACGCACACACATGCACACACATGCACACACGTGCACACACGTGCCCGTGCCCGCACACCCCACCACCACCCGGTGTGGCTAACCAGGCCTCCACCTGCAACCCTGTGCAGGTTCATCAACGCCCGGAGGCGCATCCTGCAGCCCATGCTTGATGCCAGCAACCCAGACCCTGCCCCTAAAGCCAAGAAGATCAAGTCGCAGCACCGGCCCACCCAAAGATTCTGGCCCAACTCCATCGCTGCGGGGGTGCTGCAGCAGCAGGGTGGCACCCCAGGGACAAACCCCGACGGTAAGAGCTGGGCGGAGTATACTCTAGGCTGGGGGCTGTGAGTGGGTGGCCCCTGGAACTCCTTCAGGACAACTGTGCGAAGATTCCAGGGCTGGACAGCTTCTCGCCTGAGAGGCAGGGGCTGCTTTCACAGTGACCCTCCCTCCCTGACCCCTATCAAAGGGTGTGGGTAAGCCAGGAAGAACAGGATGTTTCTGCATGTATTTTAACAAGCCAAGAGCAATCGCACAAAGACCAGTGGGAGTCAGCGGTCATCTGAGCCAATGACTGCTCAACAGAGCCCCCTCCCCCCTCCCACTCCCAGCCGGCTTGTACACGGAGTCCAGGGCAAGCTTTGTTTTCCCAGCTTCTCATCACGCCCTTCATACACACATTTTTAACTGCCAGTTGCCTGGTGCATAATGAATAATTCAGTGAGCCAGACATTTTATAGCTCAGCACATGAGGATAGCTCTGTGTGGGAGATGGAGTGGAGGTGTCCATGAGTGTATATAGACCTTCATGTATGCGGGCATTTGTACGGTCGCATGGCAGTTCCTGTGTGATGGGCAATTGTCATATGAGGTAAAGAGTGGACAAACCAGATTTTGAGCTAGATCAACCAGGGAGAGAATTCCAACTCTCTCGAGCCTGACTGTGTCACCTTGAGCTAATGACCAGCTGTCCAAGACTCAGTTTCCTTCTCTGTAGAAGGGATGATAATTCCTACCCTACAGAATTGTTAGAAAGTCAAAAGCATTTAGCACGTCGACGTGGAGGATGCTTGGTAAGTGGTGATAGGAGTGCCTCGGGGTGGGGCAGGGAGTGGCTGACAGGTGCGTGCACAGGCTTCGTACGAGGAGGAGCCCAGCTCACCTCCCCGTGCACCCCTCCCACACTGCGGTTCCTGGGCCTGACCCTCGCCCCCTTCTCTCACGTAGGCTCCATCAACTTGGACAACCTGCAGTCCCTGTCCTCAGACAGTGCCACCATGGCCATGCAGCAGGCTATGATGGCCGGGCATGACGACTCACTGGATGGGACAGAAGAGGAGGATGAGGACGAGATGGAAGAGGAAGAGGAAGAGGAACTGGAGGAGGAGGCTGACGAGCTTCAGACGACGAACGTCAGTGACCTGGGCTTGGAACACAGTGACTCCCTGGAGTAGTTGGCAGCCCAGATGGCACTGATCACCAAGCAGGAGAGGAGCGTCGTCAGGAGGGTTTCAGGGTGGGGGGGAAGGGGACATGGGCAGGCAGCACCGAGGAAGTTGGGCCCTAGTTTCCCAAAATCAGTAGCTTGAAAAAATGCAGAGGAGATACCTGCTCCTTCCCAACCACCAAGCTTCTATGGTACCCCAGCCCTACTTCCCCGAACTGTGGAGAACTCTGCTGGGTGGGGCCGGTCCAGCAACTGTACGGAAAGGCAGGAGCGAGATGGGGATTCCTCAGATCCCCGAGGACAGATGGTCTCCAAAGGCCCCCTGACTGAAGGAAGGACTTGAGCTGTTCACAAGCCCTGCACTGTGAGGCAGATCAGTGATGCTCGCAGAGAGAGCCTTTGCCAGGGGACAGAGTTAGGAGACAAGGCAGACACAAAGGGCGTTGGCTTCCACCCCTACAGGTCCTCAGCTCCTCTGAGAGACATTGAAGGGCAGGAGGGAGTCCAAACATATAGCTAGTGGATGGAGGAGGGGGGACCTGAACGGCGCATCCTGCAGCTCAGAGTGAGACCTGGATTCCACGGGGCCCCCGCTCATCCCCCGAGGCCCCATCTCGGGGCTCAGGCATCCACGGACTTGGGAGAGGGATGGAGCCACCAGAGCCGACTTCTCTCTCCCTCTCTCTTTCTCTCTCCTGGAAACAAACGGTAAGCTGGTGGGCTCAAATCGTCGGAGATTGAGAGGGTTGGCTGCAGGACCCAAGGAGGTGGTGACCTGGGCTAGGAGACATATCCAGGTGACTTTGGGAATGACCACTGTTCCTAGGTGTCCACAGAACTCAGCGCCTGTAACAACAGGACAGTGGTGTCTTATCCCAGATGCCCCAGCCCTCGGATGGAGCTCTTCATATGTTCCACGCCCTCCACAGACCATCAGAGAGGGTGGAGCCAGGTTAGCTTGGAATCGGTCCACCCGCCAGGCCCCCACGCTGACCCTCTGCTCCAGGCGGGCTTCATCGGCCTCCATCCTCAATTCTTCATTTTATCCTTCAGAGAAGGCGGAAGAAACATTGGAGAGAAGCATCCAGCCCAGTGGGAAGCCAGGGGTTGGAGAAGGTGCTACATACCTCCTCCCATCAATTTCCAAAGTGTGGGGGAGGGTCAGAGAAATGGCGCCGAGAGCCCAGCGGTGCCTCAGCCCACCCGCCTCGCCAACCTGCACCCACCACTACACACAGCACTGGAGGAACTGGGGCTCCCGCAGGAGGAGGCTTCCCACCATCTGCCCTGACACACACCCTCCCACCCCAACTTCTGGTCCCCATGATTGGCACCCCCTCCTGCCCTCCCCCCAAATGTCTGTGAAGACAGGACCGACCACACGTGTTTCCATTCAATTTAATTTAACGGACTTGCAGTTTCATTTGTAAATTGTGCATTGACCATCTCCCTCCGTGTCAGGGTGTGAGTGGCCACCGGGCTCAACCTGAGGGGACCCTCAGGGCCCTCTGGGGACTTCCCCTCCCCCACCTGGTTGGGGTGGAGCAAAAAGGATGGTCGCTTTCCGGAGGCCTCCCTAAAATGAATGTATTTCTCCCCCAAAAGAGCTGATATTTAATGTTTTAATAGGGATTTTTGAGAAACAAATAACCTTATTTATAATCTCGGTGATTCGATCATTTTTTACTCCCTTTTGATGCCACAGGTAGAAGAAAGTCTAGCTTTTTTGGCAACGTGCAGTGGGGTAAAATACATTTCCTTTTCTGGTTCGTTTTTCTTGTTTACACACACGCACACGCACACACGCATGCACACACGCACACACACCCACTCACCACTCGGGACAGGCATCCCACCCAGCACAGGCACTCGGCACACGGGCCGCCACCCTCCTCCAGCCCCTCCGCCTGCTAATGTTATGCAACCTCCTTCTGATGTATCCACCAAACCAGTACTGAATGTGGCTGACAAGTTTCCAGTAAATCTTATTACCTACCGAAACTCTGCTGCCTGGTTCTCTTTTTCCGTGGTGAGTGGGACTGTGGACCAGAGAGAATCTGGAGGCCCTGGCGCACCCTTTGTTGAACTGACTACCAGCAGGAAGGAGACGGGCAGGGGGCTCTCTGGTGACCTCGGTTTCCCTCCTGGGAGGAAGACAGCGGAGTGTGTGCCCTCGGCTCTAAGACAGGGCAGGGGAGGAACCGGAGGCTCTGCCTTGCCCTCTCCCGAGTCCCCCCAGCAGTGAGAGCTCAGCCTTGGCCATCCCCTTCCACCACACCCCACTCCCTAAAGGGCCATGCTTCCCCGGCTCCATCGCGGCTCCGAGGGTGTGGGCAGAGAAGCTGCTGCCACCGCTGCCCCCAGCCCTCACGTGCCCGCCTTTGCCCTACCCGAGGAAGTCCTGCCCCTTTCAATCCTGAATCTGTGTCCAGAAGGGGGGAGCTGCCCTTTGATCCCCAGGGTTCAGCACTATACTCCCTGGGGTGAGAAGAAATTTAGGGGCAGCTTCTCTCTTGTCTCCCCAAATAAGTGAGAGGCAGGCTTGCTTGTTACCTTCAGCCTAGAGGTGTCCTTATCTGGTATCGAGTTAGGAGCAGGAGGAGGAATCCCTTATTCATATCTGCAGAAGCTGCAGAGTGGCCACCCACCCACGGACATCCTAGAGCCAGGCTGAAGACGGGGACAGCGCTGGTTACATGGGCAGATGGCCTCCAGCAGCTCTGATGGCAGGTCACTGCTGTCACTGCCCCCCCCCCCATCACACCTGGAGTTCTGCAAACAGCACAGACCTGCCTCCAGCCAGTGGAGAAAGTCTCAAAAGCTTAAAAAAGATGATACCCTAGAACCTCACTTCCCAGAGCCACAAGATGGCAACTTTCAAAGGAGTGTTTTCCAGAGAACACACTTAAAAGACAAGCCATCAGCCCTGGCCAGTTTGGCTCAGTGGTTAGAGCGTCGGCCTGCGGTCCGGAGAGACCCGGGTTCGGTTCCCGCTAAGGGCACGTACTTCGGTTGCAGTTTGTCCCCGGCCCTGGTTGGTCGTGCGGGTGGCAGCCACTCGATGTATCCCTTCACGTCGATGTTTCTCACTCTCTCTCCCTTCCTCTCTCTCCCTCCCATTCTATCTGTACAAAAAATGTAAAAATATCCTCGGGTGAGGATAAAAAAAGACAAGCCATCAAAAAAAAAAAAAAAAAATTCCTTGGCCGAATTAGTCTGGGATGAACTGTTACTATATTTTGCTGGTGGAGTTTCAAAAGGCACATTACTATAGTAAAGGCTCTGAAAAGAAATCTGTTTAACTTTGTTTAACCTGTTCACCAAATGTATTTGCCCTTTTTGCAAGTAATATCCAATTATACCTGTGTTCCATAAAACGCACTTTGGGGAACACTATTCCAAGAAGTTACAGACAGCCTGCCCCCGCCTCTCCCGCCCCTTCCACGTTTCTCTCCCACTTCCTGCCGTCTTTTCAATCACGCTGCCAACTGAAAGGGAGTTTGCTAAATTATTCAAGAGGTGGGGGCTTATGTTTTGAGGAGGCAATAACCTCTCTGTGTGCACGACCCAAATCCCATCCAGCCCAAGGAGATGTGGCTCAGTCCTTGCTTGTGGAACTAAGGTAGATAAGACAAAGTGCATGGGAGAAGTGGGGGCAGATTTCCTTTACCCCCAGAGTGGAGCTCTGATGTCAGGGCCCTGGGAACTCTTCAGACGAACTTCTGGCCCGACATTCATCCCAGAACTTTCAGGTTTGAAGATCCCCACTCAAGGGAGCTGATGGCCAGTGTCATGTCTCTTTGACCCTGGATTTGGCAAGATGAGAGCCATGACACCTGCACCTGGCAGCCTGCTTGGACTCACTGGGGCCATCTGTGTTTACTGAGCACCAGCGCTGTCCCAGGCAGTTTTAGACGGCCAGGACGCAGTGTGATCAACGAAGACAAATTCTTGCCTTTAGGGAGTTGGCATTCTAGCAGCAGATTGAGGCTGGAAGTGTGCTCAGGGTGACCCCGCAATGATTAAAATAGGATCTTATCCTGGGGGTCCCCTCAAGCTTTATTATTCTGAGCTGCCAAACAGGAGGCGCTCAGGTCAAAGGTGGGGTTCAGGTCAAATTCAGCTTGCAGACATGTTTTCTTTGGACCATATGTTGTTTGTGAATTTTTTGTGCCAACATTTCAAAGTCAAAAGATTGCATGTAAAATTCAGATTCCTGGTTGCCCTGGAAACATCAGGCTGTCAGGCAGCTCAGGACCTATATTTTCACATGGTTGCAGTTGCCTGTGGTTGGATCACAGCTGCCCCTTACAACGTGGGCTCCAGGTACCGCGATAGTGGCCGCTATCTGAAACTGAGGGTCAGCTGTCACTTGTTATCAGGCTGCCCCTGATTGGTTGTCTCATCGGTTTGTCATGCTTCTCCTGTCCCCCTCCCCTTTTTGCCTTTCTCTCTGATATTTGAGTGGTTGTGTTAAGAAGGGAAATATTTCTGTCTGCTCATTACTTCATCAAGAGCAAGAAAACAAAAAGTGCAGAAGGGCTTTGCCTTTGGAAAAATAGAGATGACATATTTGTTGGTGGAAGCGAAGATACTCCTACCATCAATTGCGAAGTCTACCTGTATCTTTCATTCAGATGTTACCTGCCTACCTGGCTTCAGGAGGCCGTCAGGACCTGGGGGCATAAAGAAACCAGGGTTTCTTGTTACAAATGCAGATGAGGCCCCACAACCATCTCTCTCGGATTCAAGGCAAGATGCCTGAAGACCAGGAAACAATGCCCCGTGAGCCAGTTACTCACTCAGTAGGCATTTCCAGGTGCCTACTCTGTGCCTGGCATTGGATGGGGGACAGAGGATAATTCAACTTTGCAGAGCATCACAGGCCAAGGGATCACTGAGGATGGGCAGAAGGAAGCCAATCCCATCATACTCTGGGCATTTCCGCTTTGGCATCTTATTTCCATCCCACAGATGAGGCAGATTTTATTATACCACGTTCAAGTGTAGGTATCTTATGGTTTTATATTTCTCAGCCTCTCTCTGGGCCAATCTCATTTAGCCCCTTTGCAAATTAAATGCATCTCATTAAACCAAACCCATTTAGGACAATGCCCTTCAGGTGTGTGCATCTTCGTACATCTTTCATTTGAGACAAGTGCTTGATTTATTTTTCATCTCATTACACTCTTTAAAATTATATGCATCTCATTACACTCAGTGCACTGAGACGGCTTATTTCAGGTGTAGACATTACACCCAGTATTATCAGCAAGAATATTTTTTTTTCATTTCATTACAAGCCTTGCAATTTATGTACATCTCATTACAATCAGCCATTTAAGACAATTCCCTTCCGTTGTGTGTATCTCATTATACCTTTTCATTTCAGATTTTGTTCGTCTTATTCCACCCAAGCATTACTCGGAGAACTCACTTCAGGTATGCCTATCTCACATCCACCTGTTATTTTGTAAATTTGGGAGTGGTTGCTTTCCCCCATAGTATTGCAAAATTTTCATTCTACCCAGCTCATTTAAAGCCTGCTCTGTCCACCCATGGGCCTTCCATGCATCTTGAAGGAAAAGGAAGAACACTGGGTTCCCTGGTTTGGCCAAGACTCTGCCAATAACTTTGCAATCCACACCGGGCCCGTCTAAGTTAGATTCCTCACTTGCACATTGGGGGAGGGTTAGAGGAGATGGCTGCTAAGCTCCCCTTCGGTTGAGATTCTGTGAAACTGGAGTCCCGTGGAGGACAGTGCAGCAGCCCCCAGCTTCTTCTGAGGATGCTGTTGGTCTTTCCGCACAGGCCCAGCCCTGCTGGAGAAGCTGCGGCGAACACCACTGCCCAGGCTGCCCCCGGCTGCCCCCCGCTGCCCCCGGCTGCCCCCCACTGGCCTTCACACTTCCTGCTGCCCCTTGACTGGCTGCGGCTGTGTATCCATGTGGGTGGGGTCACCTTCTGGAAGGAGAGGAAATAACCTTGCTCTCTTGTGATGGGATCTCCCCAGCACCTCCAGGCCCAGAGGCATCTTTGTCTCTCCCCCAACTCCTACCGCATGAGCCCTCAGCTGGGGTGCACTTTCGAACTGCTAAGCAGGCTACTGGAGCTGCAGGGGCCCGAGTTCCACTCCCAGGCTACTGAATCAGAATTCCCGAGGTAGGTGCATTTTTAAAAGCATTCCAGAGATTCTGCACCACTGCGTGCCCATGCCTGGCTTCAGGAAAGAATCCGCAGTGCAGTTGCTCTGAGCCGAAAAGGTGCTCTTAGTGCCCCGCCCCACTGCACTTGCACACCAGAATCCAGCCTCTTAATGCCCCGCCCCGCTGCATTTGCACACCAGAATCCAGCCTCTTAGTGCCCCGCCCTGCTGCATTTGCACACCAGAATCCAGCCTCCTAGTGCCCCGCCCCGCTGCACTTGCACACCAGAATCCAGCCTCTTAGTGCCCCACCCCGCTGCATTTGCACACCAGAATCCAGCCTCTTAGTGCCCCACCCCGCTGCACTTGCACACCAGAATCCAGCCTCTTAGTGCCCCGCCCCGCTGCATTTGCACACCAGAATCCAGCCTCTTAGTGCCCCGCCCCGCTGCATTTGCACACCAGAATACAGCCTCATAGTGCCCCACCCCGCTGCATTTGCACACCAGAATCCAGCCTCTTAGTGCCCCACCCCGCTGCATTTGCACACCAGAATCCAGCCTCTTAGTGCCCCACCCCGCTGCATTTGCACACCAGAATCCAGACTCTTAGTGCCCCACCCCGCTGCATTTGCACACCAGAATCTAGTCTTGAGTGAAGACATCGTTTCTCAGTCAACCCAACTTGCCCACCCCAGACAGGGATCCCATCCACGGCACTATAAATTGTCACCTCCCTTTACTGTCCAGTGCTTCTCAGGGCAGAAAGACCAAACTTATCCAGGGCTGCCCAGTTCTTCCAGAGGATCTGAGCTCTGCCTTCTGGAGACAAATGGAGGAAGGAGACTCGCTCC